AGCGGGTTTGGCCGATGGTGTGAAAACACTTTATCTACAGCTTTACAAACAAAAAGAAAAAGATGAAATTAATATTTACGAATTGACTGTGTAACAGTTTCATCAACACGCATAGGAAACATTTTTTAAAATCAATATAATTCTAAAAATACAAAAACTTTTTTCAGACAAGACATGCCTCACATAAGCTGACGTAAATATAATTTGTTCCCGTCCAAGATTTTCAGGTTTTATCAGGAGTGAAATATATAATAGCCTAAGTGTGTTACTACAATTTAAAATGTTATTAATAAATCTGATGCTTACCAAATCCCACAATCACAGATCCAAAAATTCCAGACCTCTCTTTTTTCTTTTGATTGTAGAAATAGTCAATTAAATTGTCTAAGAAGAAAAAAGCTTAAAAACAATCTGTTTGCAATTCTTTGCCTGTTTTTATTGAAATGTAATTCTCAAAACTTGTCATTATTTCCAGGTTATATTGCTTTTAATCCCCCTGTTTTTTCCTCTTGTTTGATTGTTTCTCTTCGTTATTTGCTGCTGTCTGTATATTGTATTGTTCTTGGCAAAAATAATAATAATTTAGTAGAGGTAACTAATTTACCATATGGTTCTCATCATAAAACTGTGTATAAACAACAATTATTAGTCTGTAATGTGTAGTGTACAAATAACGAATGCAGTGCATTGCTGTTTACTTTCTGTGTTTCTGTAGACATGCTCTCTGATGAGCCTAATCCAGGCGCTCGTCCACTAAAGCGTGACTCAGAGCAGAAGATCCTCAGCGCAACGCTCAGACTCAACAACAACTTCCTTTCAGACTTGACGGCACTGATGGACACGCTCTCCGCTCTTTACACTGAGCCCACGCGTCTGGCCTGGCTCGACCTCTCCTTCAATGAGTTTCAACACATCCACCCAGTATGCACTTTACCACCTGCTTCTGACAACTGAGCACAACCATTTGTGTAATTACTGAAATACGAGAGGACCTTCTTTGAAAAAAAACACCATTCTCTCTCTCTCCATCAGGTTCTCACTCAACTTAAAGAGCTACGCTTGTTGTATCTGCATGGAAACCGTATTTGTAAGTTGTCAGAAGTGGATAAACTTGCTGCGTTGCCGTTTCTCCACACCATCACTCTGCATGGCAACCCCATAGTGACCGAGCGTGACTACAGGTACGGTCGAAGGTCAAAGGTCAGGTAGTTGCACAAGTCAGGGAGCAGAAGGGTTTCCAAAAATAACAATTCTAGTCTTTCTAAGCCTGTATGACTGACATTCGTCTGTGCAACACAAAAGTAAGAGAGAAAAATAGCACATGACTAATGCTGAGTAAAGGATTACAGAATTGTCATTTTTGTCTCGGTACACCATAAAATGCTTTACGTCAAATGCAATGAGTGCATCCTGCCGTGTCTAAAGTGGGTGATTTTCCACTGTGGATCTCTGTACTGTGGCGTTCCTGACACAACAGGTGCTGAAACTGCGGTTAGGATCCGGTTACAAACCTCTGCTGTCCTGTGCATAGCAACAGTAATCACATATCGTTCTGATACGCACACGGCATGTGCATGTGTAAAACCATTCTCAGTGCAGGCCCTACAATCTCAAGAATATGTCCAGGTCATACTTTCTTCTGAAAATCAAAAAGAAAGAATTGAGGCAATATATTTTGCACAAAGAAGCTTATTATTATTATAAGTACAACTAGAACTGCATTTGTAAGTATATTTTAATGCCAGACAGAATTTCCCATTAAACTCTCAATACTGCAATGCAAAAAACTTTTAAAATGGTCAAATGTTTATATATTATGGTTTTATTTTTTGTATTGGTATTAGTTACTAAAAATGTTAATAAAAAAAATTAATGTGAAATGAAAATGATGCTATTCAAAAATATATATATATTGGGGTAAAATATGTCATGGAAATGTTTTTACAAGATTCACCTATATATTATATATAAATAACAGATTCAGTGTTTTCAGTCTTTTAATAAAAAACTGTAAAACTTCAACTGACTATAAATGTATGCGTGAGTTTTACGTTTTGTTGGCATTAATAGCTTTTATTACATTATTTTTCTGTTCTGTAATATCAAAAGTCCATTATAATTAGAGAGAAAACATATAGATAGATAGATAGACAGACAGATATAGATAGACAGACATAGATAGATAGATAGATAGACAGACAGATATAGATAGACAGACAGACAGATATAGATAGATAGATAGACAGACAGACAGACAGACAGACAGATAGATAGATAGATAGACAGACAGACAGACAGATATAGACAGACAGATATAGATAGATAGACACATAGATAGATAGATAGATAGATAGATACAGATAGACAGATATAGATAGATAGACAGATAGACAAACAGATATAGATAGATACAGACACAGACAGACAGACAGATAGATAGATAGACAGACAGATAGACAGACAGATATAGATAGATAGATAGATAGACAGATATAGATAGATAGATAGACAGACAGACAGATATAGATGGATAGAAAGAGACAGACAGACAAACAGATATAGATGGACAGATAGATAGACAGACAGACAGATATAGATAGATAGACAGACAGATATAGATAGATAGAAAGAGACAGACAGACAGACAGATAGATAGATAGATAGACAGACAGACAGACAGACAGATATAGATAGATGGACAGATAGATATAGATAGACAGACAGACAGACAGATAGATAGACAGACAGATATAGATAGACAGATAGACAAACAGATATAGATAGACAGACAGATATAGATAGATACAGACACAGACAGACGGACGGATGGATGGATGGATATAATTTAAAATAAGGTTCCATTAGTTAAAGGTGCTGTATGTAGGATTGACACCGAGTGGTTGAACTAGGTATTGCAGTCCAATTTCAAAATATTGGAGAGGGTTTTTTTCACCCGGCCCCTCCTCCTCAGACTTGACGCACACGCAGGTTGCCAGATTGAGGACACCAACAGGAACCAGCGCACTTGACCTTGACGATAGTCCATTATCTAAAATGTACATGTTAATTGTTAGTTCTTATCTCAGGTCAATTAAATATTAAAGATATAACTTTAATAATGTATTAGTAAATATTGAAATTCACATTTACTAAGATTAATAAATGTTTTATAAGTATTTTTCAATGTTATCAAAAGTGGTGAACTAACTTTAACAAATTGAACCTTAATGTAAAGTGTTATCTTTTTCTCTGTCATGAAATGTTGAATTGCTCAGAATTGTTTCTAGAACCACAGTTCAACTCCCCCAAAAAAGACAAATTATTTCACTAAGTTGCTTGTCTGCCTCTCTTGCAGAGCGCATTTGATCGCCACCCTTCCTCATGTGAAGATGATTGATTTCAGCGCTGTCACCAAACAGGAACGAGAGTTGACTTCAGTCTGGCAGAGGAGCAGAAACCCACACAAATCCATGAGTCACAGCAAAGTGGACTGAACCTTCTCCACCCGACATCCTGATACGTCGAATAAACAAATGTGGAGTTACAGCTACGTGAGGTGACTTTAAATGATAAACTAGGTTCCTCCAAAACTGTAAGAAAGTTATAGACCTGGAGTTACTTTAGTCAGCCAGAGTGTTTCTTCATCAGTTGTTGATGAAGCCGCATGAGTAAGTGGTGAAACATCTTAAGCAACAGAGAAACGTCCATTTGACTAGAAAATCAAAGTTTCTTTGAGAATTGCAGTAAGCAATTCAAGAATGGATGAACAAAGCATTCTCATTGTACACCAATGTATGTCTGCTACACATGGACTAAGACAAAATTTTAAAAAAGCAACACTTTATAATTTTGAAAGTCTTTAATGCATAATTCCATTCAACAAAAACAGTTTTAAAAGAATATTGTGATTAATTTTTTGGTACTAGCCTAAGAAATGTTTTCTCTGTAAATCAGGTAGCATTCCACATTTAGGTAACAAACAAACAAACTTGAACACTGTTAGTACACTGCAACAGAAAACAAAATATTCGCAGCGCATTTTATCCCTTTAAAAACCTCAAAGAAAGACTAAAGTGCCTTGCCATGATCTAGAGAGCTAATTGTGCCACACTGGTCTGTGAGCTTGCATAAATACATAAAATCAAAATAAATAATTACACAAACATACTGTGTGGCATTTCAGGAAAGAACGCAAGTTGTTTTAATTCACTAGTTCTTTCCTTGTTTTTCGGCACAACAGCAAAAAGTTAGATGGACTAAGTTAAAGCAATGTTATAATGTTTTTTTATTATGTTAAAAGTGGAACAGGCAAGCAAAAGCATCCCTGTTTGCTTAGCTAAAAACAAGCTATCGATCGCAAAGCCTTACGACTAAGGCATAATGCAGCCAGGGGGCGGCGTAGAGCCGTTTACCCTTCGTGTTAATCATTCATCTCGAATCATTTTACACTCTGTACATTAAAGGCATTGACACAAAAACATCATTTACAAACTACGAATTCCAATTCAAACCCGCCTCCCCATCCAAAACATTCAGAGTTGACAGTATGATTATTTGATAGACAGGCCACGCTGTTCTGGCTCGGTTTAACCGGGGTTCGCCTTTTCCGTTACGACTGCATGACCATTTGAGGGATATAGGAAAGGTGCACGGTAAGAGAAACACTTTCTCTTCCGTTAAAGGCAATAGCAAAGCTGCTTCAGAGGATTCAAAATCTCGAATTAAATTTCTGATGGGACACGGCACATCCTGTGATATTTACCATCCGCCATAAAAACTGCTTACAGACCACTGATCTATATATGCTTGTGATGTAGACCTTCGTGAGAGTAGTGCATGTTTAATTTTTAACGGGAATGAAAATGAGGGACTGAAGCACAGTGCATTGAATGGATTGTACTATTGTTTAACAGTGAGCTGACAAAACTTCTTCCCAAAAAAAACTTTCAGTAGACAAAAACGCTATAAACAGTTGTGACATTATATGATTTTTATACAGTGAGTGCTATTGTAAAGACTGTAAAGTAAGTCTGTCCATCACAGCTTTGTTTTCATCTGCGTAAAAATTCAATATGGCATCCAACCTGATTACCATCTATTGGCAAATAGAGGTGAACGATTAGGAAAAACCACAAATTAATGTCTAAAGTTGCAGGACATCCCATGCTTTCAGCTCTTGGGTAGTTAACAGTGATAGACTCAAATCTAAACCAGTTGAAAATCAATTTAAAAGAATTTCAAGCAGATCAGCCACAGAAAGCAAATTAGTTAAATAAAGAATTAAAAATAATAAAAAGATGGTTAATGCAACATTACATGTGTGTTACTCTGGTTAGACAGAAGTATTATTTATGTTGCCCATATTAATCCACATCCCAATCTGGAACCTCAGTGCATACAATTATGAGAATGCATTAGAAATAATGAACTCTAAACCACAGTGATTCAAGAATACTACAGGAGAATTAATTACATTACTGAACTGAACCATAACATGTGTGTTAATATGACCCAGGCAAACTGAGTAAATATACAATTAACTTTAGTACAAGTATAAGAATAATTGAGAAGTCTGGATGTGCTACTTGGTTTAACAATCTCCAACTAATCAGGAAACTGAAAAGCCAACAGAAGAAGAATCAACAAGAACGAATAAAACTAAACAAAAGCTCACCAAAGCAATCGTAGTAGCTTGACGCCGTTGAGTTTAGCATTTCTGATGTATTTGGTGAAAAAGGGTTTGATTAATGCATGAAAAACTACCAGTAACTAATCAAATGCAACTCGTCAAAGCAAAGATAGTAGATCAGATGTTTTTACCCTCTCGGATCTGTGCCGTGGCGGGTGACGGATTTACACAAGGAGCTCTGGTTGGGGTGAATTATATTTATCTGCAGGGCATTCAGAAAACAAAGACATGGGCGTCTGCATCTCAAGAAGTTTGGAAGGAGAACGGAGGAGTGAAAGGGCTAGAAAGAGAGACAGAAACAGAGGAACTGGGGAGGAAGGAGGTCCATCTTTTGAATCATGGTATAGCAAACTGTACCACCAGCTCTTCCTTGGCATCTACTTTGATTTGTGAGATGGCGCTGTAGGCGTACGCAGCAATCTTAGAAACCTGTGGAGGAAAGAAAAGCACTCAATTAAAACTCCAAATAATATGCATAATGTCTAGTGATAGACCAATACATCGACTGATATTCATCACATCGCCAAAAGCCCGATCAATGGAAAATGCACAATTTATGTTATCATTTTTTTAAAACTTATGTACACTACTGCTCAAAAGTTTGCAGACACTAAAAGTTTTTGAAAAGAAATTAATACTTTTATTCAGCAAGGATGCATTTTAATGATCAAAAGTGACAGTAAAGATAGAAATCTTGTGTAACATAAATATTTCAAATAAATGCTGTTCTTTGAACTTTCTATTCATCATCATCAAAAAAAAAAAAACGTTTTACAGTTTCCACAAAAATATTAAGCAGCAGCACAACTTCTTAATATATAAAACATTAATATAGAACACTGAAATAGAAAACCGTTACATTAAACTCTAATTTCACAATATTACTGTTTATACTGTACTAAATGCATCCTTTGTGAACATCATCATCTTTCCAAAATATAAATTAAAAAAAAATCCTAATGAACCTCAAACTTCATAACAGTAGCGTATATATAGATTTATGCGTGTATCTTTAAATAAAAAAAAGTATAAAAACAGCTGTTTATAGCATATATGCATACAATTAACTGCATTAGCTTATTTATATATATATATATGGGAATTTATATTGCATATTGACTGAATTGATCTCTAGTTTTCACTGTCTGTGATCAATCACTAATAATTTCCACACCAGGCCTTGGCATGCCAAAAGCAGTCTAATATACATTGAGAGGGTTATTTAATAACAGAGTCTGACCTGCTGTACATCTGCGTAGGGGGCCAGGTCAGCGGCGAGCACCTGGTGAGGTTGGCTGGTCAGTGATGGAAGAGGAACGGGCTTCTTCTGAGACAGCGTTCTGCTCAACACCTCCAGCTTGGTGCTTTAACACAAACGCACACGATTCAGCTTAAACATAACCCATGTGCAAATCTTCACCAGCTCAAAAAAACGGACACATCACACTTCTAGTGATGCATGGTTATGACGTCACACCCGTGGTCTCAATAACATACATCCGGCATGTCTACTGTTCATATCAATGGCGTTTCAGCAGTGTAACACACCTGTACTGTCTGGCTCTGTCCATGTATTCATGTTGCTCCATGCCTTGAGAATCAACAGCCGACACGTCAATTATGTTCCTAATCAACAAGAAAAGAAAAGTGAGTTTTAATCTACCAACAGCCCAGACTGTGTAATAAATGACAGAACTGCGGCAGTGAAAGGGAACGTGTGTGTCGTACAGAGCTGTCCGCTGCAGGATGGTCGTGAGCAGGGCCTGTTCATCTGTGCGGTTAGACGGCAGGCTGTCTGCATTTCGCTCCGAGCCACTGGTGGGTTTTCTGTCTAAGTTTGGGTCAGGAATCAATGGCTTCACCTCTTCATTCTGCACAAAAGAGCCAAAAAGAGGCTGGTCAAAAACATGATCATCGGACCTTCTGAAAAACCAGCGGTTCACACTTTTGAGCAGGCAATGGTGGCCTAAAACAATGACTAAGGAGCTATTTGTCTATGCCACATGCCCCAAGTGAAAATAAAGTTGTGTCAGAGTCTGCAAATTATTACATTTTAAAGGAACATTTTTCCAAGGTGAACTGAACCCGTCATAAATATACTGCAAGTCGCTCTGGTTAACAACATCTGCTAAATGTCTTCTTACATCGTATGTCCAAACATCAACTTCTTACTGAATTACATCATACAACCAAACTTGAACCTGCTCAAAAGTGATTTATACAAAGAACACATTTCCATTTTTTTTTTTTACTATTAGTGATTAATGTATAAGTATTTTAGTTAGAGATATATATTTGATTAAACTAATTAATTAAAATCAAGTCTATTAAATACAGCACAAGTAGAAAAAAAATCAATTGTGGTCTGAGATCAATAACAATAATAATAAAAGTTTTAGACTGCTTATATAAAATATATTATAAAATATAATATAGTAAGGATAACAATGTGAGAATATTTAGAAATTTTAATTTTGAATTTCTTTGCATTTGTTTTTTTTTTTTTAAAACAGACCAAAATAATAAATCACAGATTTTCAATGTGGTCTAAGACTTTTGGACAGTTATACAAAAATAGAAACCTGGATTTGAGAATCCCCTGATAATTTAAAGTTTTCCATGAGAGAGGACGAGAAACCCAGTATATATAATTTCCTCATGCATGAGCACATGTTCAGATCTGGGGGTCTGACACATCTGATCCACTGACACCAGCCTATTTCCCAAAACATGCTCTCAATTTATGACATTTCCCATGTTTAATCATCCTGGCACCAGCAGTAAGTCATTCTGATTAGACAAAAACTTAAATGAAATTAGGCATTAGAGTAAGTTTGTTGTAGTCTTGAAACACACTCAGTACTGGCCTGTTCTTGAAGAATTACAAACACACACCAACATTAACTGTGTTGTATGTAATTCTGATTGCAGGAACACAAACAGCACATTCAGCTGTATTTTATAGCTGTTTGGGTGTGTATTGATTAAATCTTATCTACCTGCTCCGACGTTTCGCTATCGCTGCTGAAACAGCACCCCATGATAGCCGTCCAGCAGGTTTAACCTCTTATCTGTGTGAGTTTTTCCGTCTCAGACGCGCTTTTTCGTTTTGTTCGTCTGTTGACTGTCAAGCGCTCCGCTGCAAACGCAGGAACCATCACATGACAGAACTCCCAGTCAGGTCACGTGACTTCCGTCTCCTCGCCTTACGCTGTCACGTCAATTTCCTATTTTTTATTGGACTGAGCAGAGGCGTTATTTTCCCTTTCGACTATGATTTGAAAATAAAATAAAGGTGCGGTAAGCGATTTCAGACGTTTATGTTTAGCTTCTGAATTAAAAACACGACAGGTTGGGGTTTCTTCTCATTGGCTAAATACAAATGTGAACATTCATTGTGCAGTTCACATAAAATGATTGTCAGAGCAGCTATTTCAGAAATACAGCACTTTTGATGAAAATATTGACATTGAAAGATGCAGATAAATAAACTTGTTCAAAAATAAAAAAGAGACATTTAGCCTACATTTATTAGAAGTTTGACAACTAACATTTTGTTTTCTTTTATTAAAGCTTCTGTAGCAATATTTGCATTTGTACTTATTATGGGGAAATTAAAAATACATTGTGGGTATTTAGAACTTAATTAGACCTGTTATTAATTTGCCATCTTGTGTTGGTGAGACTTGACTTGACTAATTGCGGCAACACGAGCGAGCGATGCGTCAAAGTTGAGGTTATGCAAAAGAGCGACTTTCAGGAGCGACAACCAATAGGAGTGAAGCCAAGTCAAGTCACTTTAGGCTAGCGCTTATACAGTACTGATTGTGTCAAAGCAGCCTTACAGTGTCAAACAGGAAAATAGCTTGTCAAGAGTAGCTACATTACACATTTTTTTTCCAGCTAAAATCAGTTCATTGATGATTCAGTTGTCATCATCCAGTTCAGCTCTCTTCAATCAGTCCATGGTTTTACTACAAATAAAACCAAAAAAACTTGTGGTTAAACCATGGTAAATTAATCATGGTATTGCTACACTAACAGTTTAACCATGGTATTTGTAGTAAAACTGTGTGGTTATACAAATGGTAATCAATAAGCCAAAAAAATGGTTACTACACTTTTACTATAATAAATCCATGGTTAATTTTCGTAAGGGCCAAGTCAGTGGAGTGATCTGTAACTACATTCTGTAGTGGTGTGCTGTTGAGGCATGTCCTATCATTTATGACAAGAGTTTCTCTGTGTCTGGCAACCTGAAAGGACATGAGCGAGATGGATTTGTCTGCTGGTTATGTGTGATTTGTATTGATGGCTTAGTCCATTGTAGTATTATGTTCAATAAAAGATTTTATTTGTGATGATCCTGTAGTACTAACTGTAGTACTGTAGTCGCCTACAAACGTTTGTCTCAGTCTGTGTTGACACAATGAAATGTGCTTAATGTGAGGATCTCAGACATCATCATAATGAATGAGGTGAAAACACATTGGCTTTTCAGCAGCCCATTGGATGATAGTCGTCAGGAGAGATTTTTCAAAATCATTATGTGTATGGAAAATCCTCATAAAACATGAAAACCCTACATGTATGTGTGTTACCAGGAATTTACAGCAGGTGTCAGCAATACACTAAAGCGTTTTCGAGTTTGCCATAAATATACAAAAGAGCAAAAGAGCTAAATAAGACCCGAAGCGCGGGAGTCGAGTGTTGAATTTGGTTTGCCAACCGTCAATAAACACCAAAGAAGAAGAAGAGTGTTGAATTTGTTTTGCCAACCGTCAATAAACACCAAAGAAGAAGAATAGTGTTTGAAATTTTTTTTTGTAGAAGTGTCATATTTTCACTGGATGCCGTATATTTCCAGGTTTCATGCGACAAGATGTTCCCAGTTTACAGAGTTTGACGTTATCCCGTTTTACATGGCTCAACAGTTCACCAGGAAAGGTTGGGAATGTTTACATAATTCTCAGGAGAAACTCCAGGTGTAGCAGATGAAAACTGGTAAAAACCGAGTTAATTTTCAAGAGGAGATTGACGATATGAGTGATCCAGAACAAAACATGAAGATACTGAGGAACAAACAGGTTGGTTTCCATTCTCGATTCTTCACTTTTGACTGTTTTGGCAACTTAGCTGTGAAATATCGATCAGTATATGTATGATAAATGATACAGAAATGCATTTAAATGATCATAACACTGGTACAGCAGTAACAAATGAATGACAGAACTAAGATTTGGCACATTAAATCTCTGATACCACAGACTGATACCTGATCTGTGGTTTTCTGCTGTTAAATCAGGATTCACATTCAGTTTTCACATTTATCCACCTTAAAGTGATTGTTACTATTATTATTGTATGTTTATCCAAAGATGACAAATTGAGTCTATAAAAGTCTATAATTCATTCAGTTAGGTACTTTATTGTCATGACAAATATTTGTATTGTCAAAGTAATTGCTGGGTTTCTGCATACAATTACAATGAGAATAGTACAAAACAACAGAAAAACAAAACAATTTACCTGACAATAAGTGAAACAATAGTCTGACAGAAACAGAGGCGTAAAGTTTAACTGAGCTGCTGAAAAGTCAATAGTTCCCAGTTTTCTCCTCATTCATTATGATGATGTCTGAGATCTTCTGTAAATTGGCACATTAAGCACATTTCATTGTGTGTCAGCAGACTGAGACAAACTACAGGATCATCACTTTATGTGATAATCACCTATTGATGTGTGTTTTTAATCTTTACCCCTCAGGTTAAACATGATTAAAAATACTGTTAAAGACTAGAAAAACCATACCTGCACTCGTCATGTTTTTGACATTGAAATAGCATAAATGAACTTTTTCATTCAGACTGCATGTCTGCCATTTTTGTTCAAACCAGTTATTTATGCGATAATTGAAATGCAAGGTTTATAATTTTATAAAATGTTTTAGTTTTGTCAAATGTGTTTTTGTTTTCCTGGTTAAGTACAAGCCCCGCACCACCACTGATTTCATTGGTCAACTTAATCACTCAGTCAGCTGCCAACAAAATTTTTGACTTAAAGGGGTCATATGATGCTGCTAAAAATAACATTATTTTGTGTATTTGGTGTAATGAAATGTGTTTATGCGGTTTAAAGTTAAAAAAACACATTATTTTCCACATACTGTACATTATTGTTTCTCCTCTATGCCCCGCCAACATTTGGGCGGTGTTATGCAAATCTTCCCAGATCGTGACATAGACATGTTGGGGGCGTGTTAGAACGTGCCGTTTTAGGTAGGTGTGGTTAACTCTTAACTTTTATAAAGAATATCTCTTTGGATTTGAGACTTTATTCTTTGCAACTTTACAGATCTTCTTTATGCACCAAGAGCTTGTAACACTCCAAAGAGAAAGGAAAAATTGAAATCGCATCATATGACCCCTTTAATGCATTTAGTTCACAGCTCTTTCTGGTGAAAGAAATACATACATATAGAAGAAAGCTAAAATATTAAATGCCATGGATTAATATTTAGTGAGTAATCCAATATTTAGTAAACAAGCTAAATTACAGGGTGAAAAAATTTATTTAGAAAGATTGCAGCATCATTTAATTTTTTACACAGAGATTGGTAAGTCAATTAGCAAAATCAGTTGAGTTTTAGCAATGCTTGTTGTTGTAGTGCTGGGCGGTATGACCAAAAATGTATATCCTGGTATTTTTTAAAATTATACCGGTTTCACGGTATATGACGGTATGAATTTTTTTCATGCATGACCGGGTGTTAACCATATTTTCTACTGATTGAGAGAGGAAATACTGCAGTAGATTGACTTATGTTACTGTCATGATGAGTGAATATTGTAGAAAAATACCACACTAAATAGTGACTAAACATGCCCCATTAATACATGTTAACCAGGAGTCACTCTCATTTATAATCGCGACATCGTCTGATAAAATCAACATGCATCTACACTAAAGAGCGGGCATGCGGTGGTTTTGGCTATATTACTTTTTTGTCTCATGCAGCGCACTGCCTGCGTCTGAGTAGGCCTAGCCTATTAGGGGCGCCTACAGGATTTCTTCCGAGGGTACGCACCGTGGGGGGGCAAATGATCAGTGAGAGCAGAACGAATGTGTCACACGTTTTAAACTCAACAAATAAAATGGTAAAATACATATATCAAGTGCATGCTCTCACAAATGAAAACGGAGAACAAAACCGCGTTGGAGTGGATTAAAGCCCTGCACGGGCCTCAAATATAGGCCCTAGCCAGTCTTTTTCCCCTTTTCCCAAAAAAGCTTATACTACTATGTTTCAGCTATTAAAATAGTTCAGTTTTGTATGTAGTGGAAAAGTGATTATATTTCGTTTCGTTTTTTATAAAGTTAATTAGAAAAACGTTTAGAGCATTTTTTGTTCGTTAAATGTAAGTTGTTGTTTTTTAAGTAACGACCAAGCGGCCAGCGGCAGACAGTGAATTGATCATAGCCTATATTTTGCAAACGCTTTCTGCCGTCTTGGTCTTGAACAGGAGCGCTTCACAGTGATGAACCACCTCACAGAATTGCCTCACATACATGATGAAAATATATAGAAAGCTTTAAATTACTACTTTAAAACGAAATAATTCAAATCGAAAATAGAAACTCTTCCGTTATGTAATCCTGCATTTCTCTCTAAAGGCACATCCAATGAGGAGATGGCGAGTCATTTTTTCATCACCATAATTGATGGATGTCTAAAATATAAAAATAAGGAAAAGCCTAAAACAGGCCCGATTATAATTTGCGTTTTATTTTATAATTCTGTACAAAAATAAAACAAATTATAATGGCATATATGTAAAACTTGTCCTATAATTGTATAGCTGCTTATATTTTCTGATGTTTATGTTGCTCTGTTCTGAATACCTTAAAATTTAAAGGATTTGCTGCAACGCAATTTTGTCTGATGTGAATTATTTATTAGCCTATTTTTTTATCCACTGCAGCAAATGATGCAGCAAATGCTTTAAAAACTACTTTATTGCATTGAGTCGGCTGCGGTGCTTCTCTGCCGCTCACTGCACAGAACAGACGCAGAGAGAGGCGACACTTCTCCGGGAAAGTCAGACCTCGTGTTCGCGGGACAGCACTGGCGAAATCTTCCAACTGAACCATAGCTAAGGTTTATCCAAAAAAGTCTCTAGGTTTGTCAGTATGCATATTC